TTCAAGATTTGTAGTCATATTTCATCATATTTAATCATAAAAATATAAAAAAGATATTTCTGCTGAAAACAAAAGTTGTAGTAGTTAGATATGGCAGTTATTGATGATACCTGAGAATTTGGTGACCACGCCCCTTTTTGAAAAAAAGTTATTCAAAAATCATATTCATATTTAATCATAAAAAATATAAAAAAGATATTTCTGCTGAAAACAAAAGTTGTAGTAGTTAGATATGGCAGTTATTGATGATACCTGAGAATTTGGTGACCACGCCCCTTTTTGAAAAAAAGTTATTCAAGATTTGTAGTCATATTTCATCATATTTAATCATAAAAATATAAAAAAGATATTTCTGCTGAAAACAAAAGTTGTAGTAGTTAGATATGGCAGTTATTGATGATACCTGAGAATTTGGTGACCACGCCCCTTTTTGAAAAAAAGTTATTCAAAATTAGTATTCATATTTAATCATAAAAAATATAAAAAAGATATTTCTGCTGAAAACAAAAGTTGTAGTAGTTAGATATGGCAGTTATTGATCATACCTGAGAATTTGGTGACCACGCCCCTTTTTGAAAAAAAGTTATTCAAGATTTGTAGTCATATTTCATCATAAAAAATATAAAAAAGATATTTCTGCTGAAAACAAAAGTTGTAGTAGTTAGATATGGCAGTTATTGATGATACCTGAGAATTTGGTGACCACGCCCCTATTTGAAAAAAAGTTATTCAAGATTTGTAGTCATATTTCATCATATTTAATCATAAAAATATAAAAAAGATATTTCTGCTGAAAACAAAAGTTGTAGTAGTTAGATATGGCAGTTATTGATCATACCTGAGAATTTGGTGACCACGCCCCTTTTTGAAAAAAAGTTATTCAAAAATCATATTCATATTTAATCATAAAAAATATAAAAAAGATATTTCTGCTGAAAACAAAAGTTGTAGTAGTTAGATATTGTAGTTATTGATCATACCTGAGAATTTGGTGACCACGCCCCTTTTAGAAAAAAAGTTATTCAAGATTTGTAGTCATATTTCATCATAAAAAATATAAAAAAAGAGGCAAATGCTGAAAACAAAGGTTGTACAAGTTAGAAGTGTTAGTTATTTATTGTGTCCTAGAGTTCTGTGCGTGTACATGGCTTCAAGTAACAGCTATTGTTCGTTTACAAAGCTGGTATTGATACTTGTTGACGCTCCCTATGCGCTTTTCTCGGCACTTGGATTGAATGGATTTCTCCGCATTAAAACAGCGCATTGGATTTGAAAAATCGATGTTGTAGTAGTTAGCCTAAGTAGAGGTGATCATTTTGGCACCATTACTTTCGTTTAACAACGTTGCTTTCGTGAGATATTCATGGCGGAAGTCCGAATCTGTGAATATCAAGCTGACTTTACCGAACTAGCTACGCGTGAGTATACACAGGACTTTATACTCTCCAAATGGGCGCAGTCTCCTGGTAAGAGCTGCATAAAATGCAATGTTCTCGTCTGATCTGCAGGGATCGCTACACCCGTCTGTGTCCGTTAACCTGGATGTATTGCAGTATACATAGCATTATATTTTACTTTCTCTTCAAAGTTGTCTGTTAATTTGTTAATTTGATTTGAAAAAATCTCTAATATTTGAGGTTGTAACATAACAAAATGTGCAGGAGGGCATCTCTGAGGAAGGCTGTTTTGTGGGGCACTGGTGCAGACATGATTTGGCCTGAACTAGATAAAAAATTAATGGGAATGAATGACTTAAAGGGGCCGTGTGGTGTAAGAGGGGGAACCGTTTTCAATTGAATTCGCCAACACAGATCAGAGAATCAAAAAGTTCAAACACAGGAAATGCAATAATAGAAAACACATAGGTTTTGGTCCAATAGGGGCAGATGACCAATGTCCATAGATGTTGATAAATGTTGATTGTCCTGGATCATCACCACTGTCCTTAACAAATATCTGACTGTCACTTTGGTTAATCAGATTAATGCTGGGATTTGACTTTGACACGCCGACTCTATACCGCCCCCCTGGGGAACATTTTAAGATTAAGATTAAGAGATCCTTTATTTGTCCCAGTGGGGAAAATTCAGTGTTGCATCACAATTTATAGAACAGTAGGAAAGAGGAGCACACGGCACACGTTAAGTGAACAATAGCTATACTAATTAAAATAAAACAAAATCTAGCATCAATAATAAGTATAAAATCTCTATCTTGAAAATAATATTAGATGTTAAAATTTAACATTTGGCAAAATAAGAGGCAAGTATAAAGTACTGTGTATTCTAGTGCAAGTAAAGTGTAGTTAAATGTTAAACTGTACATTATCAGCAGTATGTTTACATCTGCATATTGGCGGCTGTATATTGCACATTCTGGTATAAGATATGGATATTGCAACAATGCGAGAATGACACATGGAATCAAGTTGGCAGTGTTCATTAGTCCTTATTGTTTGTTGCACAGTCTGACAGCAGCAGGAAGGAAAGACCTGCGGAACCTCTCCTTCACACATGGAGGATGAATAAGTCTGTCACTGAAGCTGCTCTCCAGAGCAGACAGAGTGTCCTGCAGGGGGTGACAGTCATCCAGCATAGATGTTAGTTTGTCCAGTACCCTCCTGTCTCCCACCTCCTGCACTGTGTCCAAGGAACAGCCCAGGACTGAGCTTCTTCCTGTCTCTCTCTGTGATGCTGCTGCTCCATCAGACCACACCGTACAAGATGGCTTATGCCACCACAGAGTCATAGAAGGTCTTTAGAAGTGGCCCCTGCACTCCAAAAGACCTGAGCCTCCTCAGCAGGTAGAGTTGGCTCTGGCCCTTCTTGAAGAGGGCGTCTGTTTATGAGTCCAGTCCAGTTTGTGGTTCAGATGAACACCCACATGTACTTGTAAGAGTCCACTCTTTCAAATGTTGGATCATATAAACAATATTAGGAAGACTGAGAGATCTCTATGTGACAAGCGTGAAAGCCGGTCAGAGTACCCCTCTGTGACCAACAGGAAGTCGGCCTTGATGGTCTGAAGTTTCGCCACCAGTTTGACTTTTCATTTTGTATTTGTACTAATCCTTGTTTTTTCATCACACAGACTTCTACCATGTCATTTCCAAGTTATATAATCTCTTCAAAAAAGCATATATATATTTCACTGTTTTTGTCCCTCGTCACAAAGAATAAAGACCTACAGAGCTGAGACTCACATCAGGTTATGACCGGAATGCAATAATAACAGTAAACTCATACAGCCAATATGAGCTCTATAGCGCCACCTGTCGCAAAGTAATAGAGCACTAGTCCTCCGATCGGCCTGAAAATCGAGTGCGAGTGTGATCTCTGAACAGAGACGAGCAAAACATTACATTACGGAAAAGCTGTAAGTCCCACACCTGACCACGGGGGGTGCCCTGAATTATTTAAATCAGCTTTTCTCAGTACAAAGTTTGTCCGATGAAGCTAGAAATGAATTCACAAATACAGCGTTTGACCCTGAACACAACCAAAAGCAACCAACTACAGGCAGTTCAAGGTGTTTTTTAATTGGATCTAGGCCCAGGTTTTTCATCGCAGAAACTTCTTCCATGTCTTTATCCCAGCTACACAGATTGGAGTTTTACAATTTTCAGGAAACGTGAAATTCTTCAGTTTTTATGCAAGGCCATGGGGAATTTCTCCATGTTTGATGCTCTCTTGGCTACAGACTTAGACCGACAGAGCTGAAACTCACTAACAGTTGGTAATGGCCTGAGTGTAATGATGTGAAAATACACACCTAACATGACTCTAGAGCGCCACCTATGGGAGGCCTTTGACCTAAACCTTTCAGATCATTGCCATAATCCCACAATCTGATCTTTACATCTGTACAAGCAAAATTCTACATTACGCAGAGGTTGCATGTCACACAGGTGACCACTCGGGGCGCAGTGAATCCTATTAATGAGCTTTTCCGTGCGCCATTGGGTTCTATCAGGTTGCGAATTCATCGGCAAGTACATGCATGCTGCTTATAGGACTGGCACCCGGGAGGCGGCTGTGAGAGTAGCGAGGGCTTTCATCGTCACTTGCGGCTTTAATTAGTATTGTTATGATTTGCTAATTCACTAGAAAAATCCCACTGAGATTATATTTTTTCTTATAGTTATAGTAATCTTGGCCAAGATACGATTACAACCTACCTCATATAATATCTTTACAATTTCATAAAAGACTTACTTATTAACCAATTTCAATCCGAAGAGACTACACAGACACAAATTTCATCAAATGATTTATTCATTTGTTTGTTTGGCTTGGAGAAGTGTTATTTTCAGGGGTTTCAGCTTTCAAATTGCTGGCTTGGTTGTTTTTAAAAATATAAAAGGGGGCGGCAAGGTGACTGAGTGGATAGCACTATCGCTTCTCAGCAAGAAGGTCCTGGGTTCAAATCCCGGTCAGAGCGGTTTCTTAGTGGAGTTTGCATGTTCTCCCCGTGCCTGCGTAGGTTTCCTCCGGGTGCTCCGGTTTCCTCTACCACTAAAAACATGTACACTAGGTTAAATCCTCCAGCTACGGTAGTCCTAACCAAGCCGAGCATCAACATCTGGAGATGGGACCCTAGGCAATGTAATACGGCGACCACTGCTCCTGACAGATGCCTTAGTGGTATCAGGATGGGTCAAATGCAGAGGATGGATTGCACAACGGGGATTAATAAAAAGAGCACCTTTGCACCTTTATAGGTTGGCAGGGATTTTGGTATTGTTGTGTTATAGGATTTCAGCAGGCTGCATTAGAAAACAACAGGTCAAAGATAGAATTCCATTAATATTTTGGAGTATTGTTCTAAAATGAAGCTAAAGCGGATGTTCTGGAAGACAGGGAGAGCTAAGTGCGCTCAGTCCTCCTGCTGCTCCATCAGCATCCGTCACTCATTTTGTTCATGCAGCAGGCATCTACGCTTGTGTTCTACAATATCTTGTCCGTTGTCTTTAAAAGGAGTTCTCTCTGGTGTTGCTTTCAATGACTGACGGCTTGGATGCCTGGTTTAGTTTCTCACCCTCGGGTTGGCTGCTCCTGGTCGTGGCCCGCTCTCTTGCATCTCACCTGCTGCTGGAGGTCTCATGTGGCGTCTCCACCTCTCGCTGCTGCCCCACCCTCAGCCTGCTGCATGTGTCTGGACCAGGGCTGGAGTGTGTCTGGATGCAGCCTGGAACCTGGGGGGGCTCTGCTTCAGTGTTAGCCTTGCCGACATCTGGGTTACGGGATCTCATGTTTCTCATTCCTCTCCCTTCTGGTCTCAGCTTCTGGTTTCAGCCACTGGTCTCAGCCGCTGGTCTCAGCTGGTCTCAGTGTGGTCTCAGTGAGCCTCTGATCTCAGTGAGCCTCTGGCCTCAGTGATCCTCTGGTCTTCGTGAGCCTCCGATGTCATTCAGTCTGGAAAAAACCTTGCTGGTAAAGCCCATAATGACACAAGGGAAGCTCAGAGGCTGGTTATCACAGGCCTCCACCACACTGTGTAATTATGTGCTGCTCTGTCTGAACTGGTCTTTGTCTGGACTGGTCTAGACTGATCATGACGTCCATGAAAATCCAATGGTTCAGCTTCAGTGGCCACACAGGAAAACCGGTCAACAATGAATGTAATATTTATAATGTAAGACACATACACATATAAAGATTAAAGACCTTATGCTGGGTTTGATTTATTTAGAAATACAGTTTTAATACCATTTTATATTAGAAGAGAACTACTAAAGGTTTCAAAATCAGTTGTTGTTTTTTTTGTCTGATCCCCCAAATCGAAATAACCCCATAGCAACGCCCTTAGAAACGAAAAAACTTCCCTTGGTGACGTCAGAGTGGGTACGTTTCAACGCTGTAAGTTGTTTACAATTTGGTATTCGTTCTTTTTTCGCGGATATTCAAGATGACAAGGCCGTGTACAGCGAGTCTCACATAAATACTAGATTGTAACTTTGGCACTGAGATAGTCCAGTGGTTGTGTCGATGGACTACCAATCCAGATACTGGGTTTCAAATCCCACCTCAGACACTTTTTCACTCTCAAAACGGCAATTTATGTGTAGTGAGCAATTGTCACCTGTAGAGTGCAGTATTGTGTTGGGCATCAGTGGAGAGAAGAGAGAAAAGGCAGTCCTGTGGCATAGATCCATGGTTTTCAATGCATGGGCGTTACCCACTATGACGTCACACACAGGTTAGAGCATAGACGGCTTAAATTCATGAAAAACACGTTCTTTTTATAAAATATAGGATTTTTTTTCCCGGAATCTCTTTCAGATTGACATTGTCATGCAATTTTGATATCCACAATTTTTTTTTTTTAAACCCGGCATAAGGTCTTTAAATCTGGAAAGACTCAAGACAAAGATTGCCTTCAAATAAATGTCTTGTCACGATGCAAGAATAGACACCAGCAGAGTCATTGATTGGTTACGAATGTTCATTAGGCTTAGCGATTAGACCTTGGCAGGAATATGATATGTGCAGGGGGGAGTTTATTAGAAATTATGAGCTTGCAAACCCCGGGGCCTAGACCCTGGTGGCGAAGAAATCTGAGCCAAAGTCATGAAATGATACGCCACTGAAGAGGCAGGGATGGGAGGAGGTGGGTTGCTGCTAGAACAGCAGCTTGAGCTGCAGAGAACTGAGCAGCAGACGGTATTGCTGTTGAGCTCAGGGGTGTAGAGGGAGAGGAGTCTGTGTGGCAGGCATGGCGTCTCTTTTAGTCTTCCAGTCTGAATTTACAATTAAAGTGATAGTCTGGCCCTGCCTACTTTTCTGTGCACGCTGCGGGTCAGTACGGAGGAGAGATTTTTAATTTAGATGTTCAAATATATTCACATTTTTAATCATAATTTGGTATACAGTTCCTCAAGCAGCAGTAGAACACTCCATTGATTTGAATGTAATTTCAAAACGTTCTACCAATCAGACCTCTCAAACCAATAATGACCGCTGCCCTTTGGCAACGCACTCTGTGCTTGTAATTCAGGTGTATAAAATACTAAGATTACTCTTGTTACTTCGTCACAACGGGCTTTCTAACCTGTCACTAAGTACTTCTGTCTGTGCGAGAGCAGCTATCGGAGCTGGCCATGCTCAAAAACGCAAATAACAATCACTCAACACATTTAAATGTTTATCGGAGAATACATATAAATTCTTAATACATGTGCACAGGAGGTTTTTAGAATGATCTGTTAACGTTTTCAATGACAAAAATACAGTTTTAAGCAGCTTTGAATATTTGTTCAATGTTTAATATTAAAATTATATTTGAATATCGAAATTCAAAGTCAAAGCCCTAATCGGATGTAGGGGGGACACATGAAATGGGTATCTTCTGCTCTTGAGTTGGAAACCGCAGAAAGCAGCCAGACGCATTGAGTGCGCACATGCATAGCCAAAGCAACGGAATGGGACATTTTACATATTTTAAGGATTCTTGGACTCGTTTTGTGGTGCTCAACTGTATTTTCCAGACAGAATCTAATTGTGCAGCCTTTATTATAGACGAAAGACAATACTGACAAGTAATGGATGAACCAGTGGCGGGCCGTGCATTTCAGCCGTGCATTTCAGATGTGCATTTCAGATGTGCCTCCTGTTGAAACAGGAGGCACATCGCTGTAGTTTGTATACACACGCCTGACGCACTCGTGCACAATGCGTAACTTTCTCTCTCTGACAGTATCTGAGAACATGACTCTGATAACATGACCGAGTGCAACACGGGCGTTCAAGACCCAGTTTTGAGCATTAATGTGGGAAAGTCCAACAACAATATAAGTATTGGACGGAGTTTTAATGTGGTTTTCTTACCGGTGGTGAGGCAGGACGCGGCGCTGTGTCTTCTGCTTTGCCTAGCTCCGAAGGTTAGCTAATTGGAAGAACTGTTATTCCCAGGGGCAAAAATCCTGGCTCTCCCGGTCCTGGCTCTCCCGGCCCCTCTGTCTCTGTTCTTCTTGAAAAAGGCATTCTAACTATTTAGTTACCAGAATTATGTATTCACCTTCTTCAGCCGTAGAGGGTTGAAAAACTATAAAAAGTTGTCGTGCTACACATATTAGCATTATCACATTAACGTGTCTGCACTTCTATGGTCTGCACCACAGACTATAATTGACGTCTCGTGTATCCAATCGGAAGACACGCTTCCCCGCGAAGTAGGAGACTTGACACTGATTGGTTAATGCCCCAAGTTTTGTTTTCATTGACCATAAGCTAGAGCGGGCCAGCAATGTAGACTCTGAAGGCCTAGAGGCAGATTCTGGGCCATAGCAACCATAGTATAGCAACACATGAGGCTGAGTAATGATTGGATAAAAACTCTTAGACGCCAGACCTCTCAAATGTCGGCCTGAAGTTGGAAGCCGCGCAACCAACGTAGTTTGTGAAAAAATAATAATATTATATATTATATATATTGTAAAAAATATATATATGTAATCATGTTTAGGCCAGCAGTGAAGGCCTTGCAGGCATTGAGGGTCCGCCACTGGGATGAACGGTTGTAACTATGCAATTGTGTGCTCTTTAAACCGCTCTTTTATTCTTAATATATCAACGAATCATGTTTGTGTTTAAGTTTACTTAAAGTTTAAATAAAAATAAATAAATATTGCTCATTTGTATTCTTGTACCGGATTAATTGAACCTTTAGAGGTTAGAAAAAGATCAACTGTTTGCCACAGCACGTGGAGTTATGTTAAACCTTATGAATACGTATTACTTCCATTTAGTAGACTTCGAAGGGAGAGATTACACCCAGACTTATCTTAACATTTAGTCAATAAGTAAAGATTCCAATCAGCATATATTTGTCAGAGGAAACAAAAAAACAAGTTACAAAATGTTTTAATGGAATGAATGCATTTCAAGAAGGCCAGTTTAGGAAACGTGTATATTTGCTTCCTACTGAAACAGAACTCTGTACAACCTGAGTGCAACCTATAGGACCTGACTTTAGCTGTACTTTTGGGTAACATTTTTAAAACATTAACTAAATGAAATTTAACAACTAGGGTGTCAAGCTCATTACTAAAGGGCCGCTGTGGCTGCAGGTTTTCTATCAAACCATGCAGACCATAGACTTTAAACGGGTGGCACGGGGGCTGAGTGGATAGCACTCTTGCTTCTCAGTAAGTAGGTCCTGGGTTCGAATCCCGGCTGGAACAGGGTCTTTCTTAGTGGAGTTTGCATGTTCTCCCCGTGTCTTCGTAGGTTTCCTCCGAGTACTCCGGTTTAACCTACTGTACCACTAAAAACATATACAATAGGTCTGGCATGCACCTCTTGTACTGGCGACCCCGCTACCATCTTTGTGTGGAGTGAGAGGACAAATGCCCAAAAATAACAATTGTAAACCGCTTTGTGACTCTGGTGGGGGAAAGGCGGTATATAAATAAATAATATTTTTTTTAGTTGATTAATCGCATAGTAATGGTGAGTTAACTCACGATTAATCACATTTTTAACATTCTATTTCAAATCCACTCCAATTTAAGTTAAATGAGATGTTCAAATGTAATGACACATTGTTATTCATACCAAATGTACTTAAATCTGTTTTACTTGCTCACAACCTTCTACTTTTGGGTACAACCAAATTTCAGCGTGTCTCCTCCTCTCCTCCGCGCGGCACGGTGGCTGAGTGGATAGCACTCTCGCCTCTCAGCAAGAAGGTCCTGGGTTCGAATCCCGGTTGGAGCAGGGCCTTTCTGAGTGGAGTTTGCATGTTCTCCCCGTGTCTGCGTAGGTTTCCCCTACCAGTAAAAATATGTACAATAGGTCTGGCATGTGCCTGCTGTACTGGCACCCCTGCTCCCAAAAATAACAATTGTAAACCGCTTTGAGACTCCGATGTGCAGTGAAAAGGCGGTATATAAATAAATATTACTTACTACTACTACTACTACTACTCCTCTGTGTGTCACGCAACATCAGAGAATGGCCCCTGTGCGTGTATATATATGCGTGTATTATATGACCACGTTACCGCTGTCACCATCACACACACGCACGTGGCCGCGGCATTCTGAGTGATATTATTATAAATGGGCGAGTCATTCAGACATGCGATTGACTGCCAGCCTATTTCAGAACAGGTACTCCCATATTAGAGGTTAAAGCCTGAAGGTCGTGGGTTCAATTCTCACCTCTACACCTTCTCCACCGACTCCCACTGATGTCTGCTGTCGTTGTGTCCTTGAGCAAGCCACTTTGCCCAAAGCCCCCAGTGAAAGATCAAGGCTATGCTCACACTCAGAGAGCAGCCGTCCTCCTGTGGACTCACCACCTACAGAGGGTCAGTGAGGGGCTGGTGCTATGAGACTTGGGTGGCATCTCTGATTGCCACCCCCCTGACCCAGAAA